AGGGGGGCTTAGCTTATTTATGATTAATTCAAAGGGAAACGAGAAGTGAAGGGGCGGATGGGTAAAAATGACCTCCACATTTAAAATTTATATTATTTTATCCGCAGTTCTGTTAGTCCCCCGCCTTTTAAGAGGAAAAACAGGATGGAAGTTCAATGTATTCTGGAAGGCTTTCACGGCCAGGATCTCATCAGAATGGAAGTTGTTTATTTATCTGACTTGTATACTGCCCCATAGTGCATAGCACTCTCTAGGTAGTTTGCAACAGTAAATTCAATCAAATAATACCCAGTGCAACCAAAAATATGCAATTTATATTTGTTGTATTAAGTCACATTAATGACTTGAATGAGAGGGTGCAGGGAATGTTTTTCAGATCTGCAGATGCACCAAACTAGATGGAAAAGCTAAGGCCTTGGAAAGCATGAGGAAAATTCAAAAATATCTTGATGGGCTTGAGGGATGGAAGCGCTAAGGCTTTGGAAGGCATGAGGAAAATTCAAAAATATCTTGATAGGCTTGAGCATTGGGCAGAAAACAAGAGAATGAAATTCAGCAGGGATAAGTGTGAAGTACACTGGGGGGGCAAAGGTGCAGTTACAGGATGGGGGATACTTGGCTCAGTAATACTGAGTGTGAGAAGCATCTTGGAATTGTCACAGCTTACAAGCTAAATATGAGCCAACAGTGTGATGTAACTGCAAATACGGCAAATGCTATTTTAGGATGCATTAACAGAAGTATTGTCTCCAAATCCCAGGAGGTAGTAGTCCCACTCACTCTTCAGCACTGGTTGGCTCTTATCCAGAGGACTGTGAGCAATTCTGGACACTACTCTTGAAGAAGAATGCCAGAAAACTGGAGCAAGTTCGGAAGAGGGCAACAAGGATGATCCGGAGACTGGAAACCAAGATCTGTGAGGAACGACTGAAACTGTTGGGCATGTTTAGCCTTGAGAAAAGAAGACTGAGGGGTGATATGGTAGCACTTTTCAAAGACTTGAAAAGGAGTCATACAGAGGAGGGGCAGGATCCATTCCCGATCATCCCCAAGTGCGGGACACACAACAATAGGCTTAAGTTACAGGAAGCCAGATTTTGGTTGAATATCAGGAAAAACGTCTTAACTGTTAGAGCAGTACGGCGATGAAACCAATATTACCTCAAGAGGTGGTGAAGTGCTCCAATCCTGGAAGCATTTGAGAGTACATTGGACAACCATTTCTTAGATCTGCTTTGATTTGGATTCTAGTGTTTTCAGAAAGCATTGAGTGGCGGGTTGGACTTGATGACCTTATAGACCCCTTCCAACTCAATTCTTCTGCGATTCTATATCAACAAATAATTAGTTTCTGCTGCAAGCAAACCCAACTTTAAATACAAATAAACAATCAAAAACAGTTGAAACCCCAGGTCGACATTAACAAAAGACGTTTTTAAAAGTTCAGTTTTAAAAGTTATAAAAACTTTTAAAAATGATTATCCTTAGGCGCTGTTTGAGGGCTAATATTTTTTCTTCTTACTTAAAGGGCTAGATCAGATGTGAAGAACTGGAAAGGGCTAGAATTCCCCACCCAAGACCACTGTAAGGCAGATATCGCCAGAGGTATGGCCACATCTGACATAACAGGAGTCTATGGGAAAAGTGCCTGATGGGGCATTTTGATGTGGTGCTTAGGTTGGGAACTGGGATTTGCAATGGTAGAGGGAGAGAAGCATAGAAGTAAAGCAGAAGTCCTTATAAATGATGCTTGCAAAGGCTTTGTTGGTGGCCTGGGGACCATGGCTAGGAACTGGCAGGATCTTTCCCCTTCCGCCCCCTGCATCTCACATCCACAGAAGAAAAGGAGCAATCTACTATCAGAGACCATGTTTGCAGAAGGAAGAGGGTCCTTGGTTAAACAATCTTGTTAGCACAAGATTAGTGGAACTTCCTGAAAAGTTAAAACCCATCAGGGTATTTGGCATGGATCTACTTCACCTCCACTTTCCACAAGTTAGGTTTTGGTTGAGTGATCAGGAGGTAAACATAGGATGTTTTGCCATCCTGATTGGTTAAGCATGAAGGAAGTGTGCGTTTTAATGTGCAATTTGACCCAGGAAGCCTCTCTTACCTCTGACTGAGCACAAGGGAATCCCCAGTCTTATTGCCCATCTGTGATAAGAGACAAGAGTGATTTTTTCCTCCTTCCTCAATAAGCCAAAAGGAAGCTTCCAATGAAGTTCACTCCAATTGGCTGGAGGGCCCAGTGGTTTCGGCATCTGGATGTGGAGTCAGAGGTTGAGAGTTCGATTCGCCACCACAGGGTCCCTTCCAGCTCTGCAGTTCAAAAGTTAGCAAACTTTTGCAAATTGATTTGTCTGCAAGCCCCAAAATTCACCCGAATAACATAAAATATTAGAACCCTCTTGAAAGCAGGTAATGTGTAGCCTGTATAATTAAAAAATTGTAAACCGCCCGGAGAGTGCTTGTAGCACTATGAGGCGGTATATAAGTCCAATAAATAAATAAATAACGAATGGCCATGAAATGTACGAGGTAAAAAAATGTGTGGCGTTTCTGCATAAATGAAAACATTTGCAAAACACAAATGCAACCATCATCCTGAATGGGGTGATTGTGCTTATTGTATACATGCAAGCTTTCCATAGAAATGCCTCATTGTGCA